ACTCCACCGTGCTGTACAGTAGAAGCTATTTTATGGCACAACAGGCTGTATCTTAACAGAACACACATACTAATGGGTGTTAGGGGGATCTTACCCCCACAGTATTTGTTTCCAGTGAGTAAGTCATCTGTTTATCAAGTATGGTTGAAATTGCTTGAGGCATTCCAGAGTTATGCTGGGAGACACGCACACAGACACACACAAAGCTCATCCTCCTCCTAAAACTTTCAGCCTGGCGAAAGGACCACTCCAACTTCATGAATGTAAAGACAAGCGGTTCATGTAATTAAATTTATTCTTGCAATGGGTTACATTTAAAGGTGTCAGAGGTGGACAACGTCGGGGGGGCGGGGAAGAAAAATTACTTTCCAGAGGATTTCGCCTAAACACAAGGAGCTCTTGCGGATAAACTCTGCGTGTTCGGTTTCCTTCGGCGGAAAAGGGGCAAAACAAAAAACAAAAAAACGTACATATTTGTCTTTTAAAGCCGTGAGGCCTGAGGGAGGAGCGAAGGATCAAAATGACAAGTGGTGTAGACCAAGGCAGTGATTTTTGGAGGAGGACACAATAAAACTAGATGTCTTATGGAGATTCTCAGTCATCCATGTCATGGCTGTCCCAAAGGTGCTTTTTTTCTCATTCCCCAATGTTGTTTTTCCTTGAAGCCGTTTCGCATCTTATCCAAGAACTGAAGAAGCTTCTCGGATGAGAAGCGAAACCTCTTCAAAAGAAAAACTAAAGTCCAGTAGGGGGAAAAAAACAACAAGAACCCACCTTTGGGACAATAAAAGTAGATTTTCCTTCCCCCCCATTAGACGAGCCTACTCTGTTTAGAATTCTTCTAAAAAGATGCAATTTTTGGAAACTTGAAAAAAATGGTTTTCAAGAATGGCGTTTTGACTTACGGATCAAAACAAATCCCGCCCTCTTCCTTTATTCCAAGCCTAATCATTCTGAACACGAGAGTTTTTATCAGGGAGAACTCCTTGCCTTAGAAACGCAAGAATTTCATGCAGTTCCTTTCGTCCTGTTAGTAGCTCTTCCATTTTCATTTTTAATTTTTGAACGAGGCCACGGATCTCGGCTGGGGACTAAACGGGCTTGAATCGATGCTCGCGTGAACCAGGGGAAAGGGGTGAAGTGGTGAGAAATTAGTTTTAATTAAAACCAACCCCCTTTCTTGGGTAGATCAGCGAGGCGGCCCTGGGAAAGGAGGACCTAACTCAGCTTGTGCGTCCCCCACCCACCCCCAACCCCCAAAATAAGAGACCCCAATTACATGTCATTTTATCCTTTACGTCATTAAAAAAACGTGACCACAAATAGAAAATTCCTCCCGACTTTTTGCAACCGAGGATACCCTCTTGTTTAATTAGGGCTGGAATGATGGAATGAGCTTGCAATGTGGCCGCTCCGTCAACGGATAGTTTGGTCAAAATGGGATGGAGGTAGTCCTCAACTTACAACAGTTCATTTAGTGGCCCTTTTGAAGTTACGACGCCACTGAAAGAAGCGACGTATGTTTTTCACTGATGGCAGCATTCCCCCCGTGATCAAAATCCAGACGCTTGGTTTACAGGTTCGCATTTATGACGGTCGTGGCGCCCGGGGGCGGGGAGGGGGGGTTACGTGACCTCCTTTGCCGACCTTCTGGCAAAGCAAGACTCGCTTAACAACCGTGTTACTAATTTAACATCCGAAGAGAAGTCGTAAGATGGGGGGCAAAAAATTGGCTTCACAAGCGACTCGCTTAGCAAGGGAAATTTCGGCTCAATTGTGGTCGCAAAGCGAGGACTGTCTGTAAAAAAACATTTGAAGCTGCGTCGAATTGGTCCCAAACAAGACCAGGCATCATCGCTCCTTATGAAGAGACACAAAAGAATGCATAGATCACAAAAGCAGCACAACCACCGGGTGTAAAATCATTGGGGTTTGTTCACACGGTCATCCTTTCGCTTGCTAAGCGTGTGTGTGTGGATGGGCAGGGGGAAGAACCTGGTTTAATGGATCTAGAACGTGCCATTTTCTCGTTCGCCCAGCAGGGGTTTCCAAAAACATTAACCAAAACGAAAGGTTTTTAAAAAACCAAGTAATATTTTTTTCAAACGTTTTCAAAACACTTGGCTTGGAAAAGGGCTCGTTGCCATCCCGCCCATCTCAACACCGAAATCTTAAATCAAATCTAAAACTCCCGTCTGCGGAGATCCCGAAGTTGCTTTTCTAAAACCCAACTGCATTTTCTAAAGGGCGTGTGTGTGTGTTTTTTTTTCTCCCTCTTTGGAAACATTTCCTTTCTCACCCAGAAAGCTTCTGAACTGAAGAAGCTTCGTGGATGAGAAGGGAAACGTTTCCAAAGAGGGAGAAAAAAAAACACACACACACACCCTTTAGAAAATGCAGTTGGGTTTTAGAAAAGCAACTTCGGGATCTCCGCAGACGGGAGTTTTAGATTTGATTTAAGATTTCGGTGTTGAGATGGGCGGGATGGCAACGAGCCCATTTCCAAGCCAAGCGTTT